CGGGCTGGGGATTCGAACCCGCCACCTTAGGTGTACATGGCTGGCGCCTTAGCCGGTTGAGCTATAGGCGCCGAGCCTGGACACTTTCTAAGATAGAAAATGGCCCAAAGATGTGGACTCTCCCAGAATCATGCCTTCTCTATATTCTGCTCCCTGAGACCCCTCTGCATTTGGTTTTCTGTCCTGCAGGGTCGGCATGTCAAGACCGGGCAGCTGGCTGCCATCAAGGTCATGGATGTCACAGAGGTAGGGAACGGGGCTGAACAGAGAGAGGGAGCATTGGGAGAGAAGATGGGGAGAGCCAAAGAGCTCAGCTTCTCCTATCCACCTAGGATGAGGAGGAAGAGATCAAGCAGGAGATCAACATGTTGAAAAAGTATTCTCACCATCGAAACATTGCCACCTACTATGGAGCCTTCATCAAGAAGAGCCCCCCTGGAAATGACGATCAGCTCTGGGTGAGAGGTGCCCTCTCCTGCCCTCTCCACCCTTGCCTGTGTCCAGGGTGCTCCTGAGGAACTTGGTGTTGGTGCCCAGAGCCTCTTCCCTCCAGCCCTCCCTTGATCTACCTAGCCTTTCCTGTTTGTGGATTCAGAAGGACCCCATGCCTCATAGGAGCCCCCCACTCCAGCCCCACACTCACCCTGCACATTTTTTGTCCTCTGGTGTTAGCCCCAATCTTTGCCTTGACCAGTCCTCACATTGAATCTGACAGGCACTTAGTAACACCAAGCAAGGCAGTTCTGGTAAGAGCTAGAAAAGACCTCGGGGAGGTTAGTCCATCCGTTTTCCTGCCTTCAAAGTTTTGGCAAAACAACAGAACCAAAATATTTGTGGAAGGTGACATGGCTCAGACCCCTTCCAGCAGTGCAGAGTCTTTCTGGATGGTTATTCAAATCAGGACCTGCTGTAGCTGTTTTGGGCCTCCCCTGAATTCCTAAGAGTCATTCCCCTGTCTGTCCTGGGTACTCAGCAGATTCTCCCAGCCTCACCTTTCATGGTACAGAGCCCAGCCAGAGGAGACAGCAGCAGGGCACATAGCAATGACTGTCAGGAGTTTGGGAGCTCATGCCAGGTCTCCACTTGGAGTAGTCAGCCAAACAAGTACTTATTAAGCAATTTCTGTATACGCTACACAGATAAACATGAGCCAGCTTACAAGGCCCCTAGGCTTTTTGGGGGGGGGACACACACACATAGAGAAAGGTGAGTAACAAGTAGGTGTACCTCCCAGGTGTGCAGTGGAGATAATTGAGGGCCAGAGGGTAGGCACTAGTAAGTGGGCGCCCTCTTCTGGACCTATTTGGTACAGTCTTCCCCTCCTCCCTGCTATGATCTGCTGTCCAAGGGGCAGGCACATGCAAATTAATTTTGCATATGCAAATATACATCCCCTCCAGCCTTGTCCTGCATTAGTTTTAGTGAAAACTTGGGCAGGGTTGCTGATTCTCAGAGGGAGTGGATGGAGCTAGCTTCCCATTTGGCCCCTAAATCTCAGCAGCTCTTCCCTAGAGTTGGAGGCTGATCACTCTCCATACTTGAGGAGCTTCTCCCAAGGCCTGCCTTGGTTCTCTGCTGTAGCGGTCTAGGTAGACCCCGTGCACTGTTTATGTCTCTAGCAAGCCTGGAGAATTGCGGATTCTTTGTCCCTTTCTTGCCTCCGAGTCAGGGATGGCAAACTTATTCTGTAAAGGTCCAGGTAGTAATTATTTTAGGCTTTGTAGGTCACAACTCTGTCACAACTACTCAATTCTGCAGTTGTACCATGAAAGCAGTAATAGACTATACATAAACAAAAGATCGAGACTGTATTCACAAATACAGGAATATGAACATGATTGGTTCTTTGGGTTTATTCTTAAGTTGAATTTTTATGTAAGTTGGAACAGATACATTTACCTATTACCTGTTATAGTCTCTGTTCATATGTACATAAGTTTGTAACTCAGAGACTGCCTGTACTTTTATTTAGGTCACTCAAATTCAAATTTTATGTCACTTTCATATATCATGAAATATAATAATTCTTTTGATTTTTTTTCCTAACCATTTAAAAATGTTAAAATTTTTTTTTAAATGTAAAAATTACTCAGCCTGCTGGCCATATAAAAGCAGGCCTTTGGTTGGCTGTTAGTCACTGACCCCTGATCCAGAGGAATAGTTCTTTTTGTTTTTTTGTTTTTCTGGGGTGTTTTTTTGTTTGTTTGTTTTTTTGAGGCAGAGTCTCAACTCAGTCACCCTGGGTAGAGTACTGTGGCATCAAAGCTCACAGAAACCTCAAACTCCTGGGGCTGAACCAATCCCCTTGCCTCAGCCTCCTGAGTAGCTGGGACTACAGGCCCCTGTCACAGTTTCTGGCTATTTTTTTCTATTTTGAGTAGAGACAGGGTTTCGTTCTTGCTCAGGCTGGTCTTGAACTTGGAGCTGAAGTAATCTGCCTGCCTCCAGCCTCCCATAGTGCCCAGAGCAATAGTTTCTAACCATTTTGGGGGTTCAGGTTCCACTGAGAATCTGATGAACACAGTAGATCTTTCCTCAAGGAAAATGCACATATCTACACATTTTGTCTACAATTTCAAGAATTCCTTGGATTCCCACTCGGGACTCAGCCCCACCCTGCCATTTTTCTCCTTTTGTATTCCCTTTTTTTTTCTCTCTGGATCTCGGGAAGTCCTGTGGCCTTTGTGAGGGGCTCATGTGCCCATGTTCCCCAGCTTATACCAGTTATAGCCCCAAGGTCTGTGGTCTTCCTCCAGGGTTCTAATGAGGGGAGAGCGGAGGCCTTACCTGATACTTTCCCTTCTGGTACCTTCCTGGGACTGTAGCTGGTGATGGAGTTCTGTGGTGCTGGTTCAGTGACCGACCTGGTAAAGAACACAAAGGGTAACGCTCTGAAAGAGGACTGCATTGCCTACATCTGCAGGGAGATTCTCAGGGTGAGTGCAAGCCCTTCCCTTGTCTCCTAGTCCTGTGCTACCCTGGCTGGAGCTTCCCTATGGACAGAGCCCCTCCCTAAACTGAGGAGGAGATGCAAAAGCTCTCTGGAGGGAGCAGCAAGCCTGTAGGGTGGGGGGTGAAGACAGTGTTCCAACCTTGGGAATGCTCAGGCTGTTGGAAGAAATAAGCCCCTCTCTTGCCAGGCTCTGCCACCTTTCCCCTTGTAACCTTGCACTTGCAGGGAGTTCATCTGCAGCCACCACTCTGAGGAAGCTCCTCAGCCCAGCCCTGTATAGACCGATAACTCCTGTACCTCTCAAGCCACTCCCACTCCTTGCTCTTGCCTGCTTCCTCCACACTGCAGCTAATTTTCCCTACTCTCCTGTCCCAGGGTCTGGCCCATCTCCATGCCCACAAGGTGATCCATCGAGACATTAAGGGGCAGAATGTGCTGCTGACAGAGAATGCTGAGGTCAAGCTAGGTGCGCTGCTTCCTTCTGAGGCTCACTGGGCCCTTTCACCCCCAAGACAGAGAATAAGGGGCTTTTTCCCCCTGGTGGCTCAGGTCCAACTACTGTCTGGTAGGGAGGCCTACTCTCTCCCTTTTCCCCTCCCCTCCCCTAGGAGGCCCTGCCTCCTGAAAAAATCCCTTAAGAGGTGTACCTGCCACCTATTACGCTCCAGGTGCTGAGCAGGTCCCTCTGGGGAGGTGGAATCTGATGACCCTTCCTGCCTGGGATACTGCCCTTTGCTTTTCCTCCAAGGGGCAGAAAGACTGGATCAGATTCTTTTTTTTTTTTTTTTTTTTTTTTTTTGAGACACAGTTTTATTTTGTCACCCTCGGTAGAGTGCCATGGCATCATAGCTCATAGCAACCTCAAACTCTTAGGCTCCAGTGATTCTCTTGCCTCAGCTTCCCAAGTAGCTGGGACTACAGGGGCCTGTCACAACGCCCAGATGTTTTTAGAGACAGGGCCTTGCTCTTGCTCAGGCTGGTCTCGAACTGGTGAGCTGAGGCAATCGATTTGGCCTCCCAGAGGGCTAAGATTACAGGCGTGAGCCGCTGCGCCTGGCCCTGAATCAGGTTCTTTAGGATGTCAGTGGGGTAAAAGAGAGTGCGAGGGTGTCTGGGTGGGGCAGGACCTCAGGTGAGGTGTACACATATACAGAGTGTTAAGGCCAGGGAACAGTATGACTCCTGCACTGACCCTTGCCTACACATCTTCACAGTGGATTTTGGGGTGAGTGCTCAGCTGGACCGCACGGTGGGCAGGCGGAACACTTTCATTGGGACTCCCTACTGGATGGCCCCAGAAGTCATCGCCTGTGATGAGAACCCTGACGCCACTTACGATTACAGGGTATGAGGTGGAAAGTTGAGAGGGCTGTGAGGGCAGGAAGCAAGATGGAGATGATGGAGCTTGAGCAGGCTGGGCAACAAAAGGAAGTCTGATGCCTATTAGCCTACAGGATTAGGGTGCCTTTTATGGCAATGAAAATAAGAGTGGGAAGACGGGATGAGCTGGAGGACTGTGCAGGGTAAAAGGACAAGGCCCCAGGAAGGGGTGCAGATCAGCAGGGGGTCCCAGAGAGGCCAGGGGTAAGGAATGGAGAGAGGTTACTGGGCAGAAACATTTACCTGTTTCTTCTCTCCCCTCTGTAGAGTGACATTTGGTCTCTGGGAATCACAGCCATTGAGATGGCAGAGGGAGCCCCCCGTAAGTGCTGGGTCTGGTGGAGTAGGATGGGAGAGAAATGGGGCCCAGAAAGCAGCTGAAGGGAGGTCCTGTTGAGGGGACTTTTGGCTCTCAGCGTGGTGAACAGGGCTGATGGCATCTCTTCTGTGCCCAGCTCTGTGTGACATGCACCCCATGCGAGCCCTCTTCCTCATCCCTCGGAACCCTCCACCCAGGCTCAAGTCCAAGAAATGGTAGGTCTTTGAGAGTTTGGTCTCTGGGACAGAAAGCCTCTCTACAAGGCCACTCTGACCTTCACACTCCTCTCTATTCAGGCTTGGATCTGCACCATAGAAGAGGTGCTGGGGGGGCCCAGGGCAGCCATTGGTGCTGGGATATGGCAAAGATAGGAGGGAAATTGAGGTGGCTTTTGGACGAATGATCCACCCCTTCCCACTGCAAGTCCCCTGCTGAGGGGGGCCCTCCTAGTATGAGCCACCACTGTTTCCAGGTCTAAGAAGTTCATTGACTTCATCGACACATGTCTCATCAAGACTTACTTGAGCCGCCCGCCTACAGAACAGTTACTGAAGTTTCCCTTCATCCGAGACCAGCCCACGGAGCGGCAGGTCCGCATCCAGCTCAAGGACCACATCGACCGGTCCCGGAAGAAACGGGGTGAGAAAGGTCAGTGGGCAGTCTTGGGCGAAACTTTGGCCCGGCCTTTTCCAGCTCTGACCGGCCTGGCTCCCCTGCCTGAGATTTCCTTTCCCCCATGCCAACCCCTAGTCCACCTCCCTTTCACATCTTTACAGAAGCTCCATATCGAGCACGTGCGTTTAAGTGCATGCACACATGCTACCACATCCTACCTCTTATGGCAGGGGACCTCAAACTTTGTAAACAGGGGGCCAGTTCACTGTCCCTCAGACTGTTGGAGGGTCGGACTGCAGGCCCCGGGACAAGTCGGCTGCTAAGCAGGACAGACAGCAGTGGCAAAACACCTGGCAGGCCGGATACATGTCCTAGGCAGTCCGCATGTGGCCCGTTGGCCGTAGTTTGAGGACGCCTGTCCTATGGGATTGAGTCCCAGTCTCTGTCTAGGCCCAAACCTGAGACCCACTGTCTTCCTCCATTGCTCCAAGGAGGTGGGTGGTAACCCTCATGCTTTGTCATCCAGATGGACCTTATTGGTCATCCTCATCTAAGGTTTCCTTAGCCAGGGGTGGGGTTTGGGACACTGGACGAAGAAACAGCAGCAATCTCCCCCTGCAGAGGAGACAGAATACGAGTACAGCGGCAGTGAGGAAGAAGATGACAGCCATGGAGAGGAAGGAGAGCCAAGGTGGGCTTGGAAAATAGAGGCGGGAGGGTAGGGAAAGCAGTGATCCTCAGCTTGGGGACTGTCAGTCTGGTGGTGGTGGGCACACAGAGGTAGGGGCAGACCCATATAAACCAAATCCTTGAGCTAAAAAGTGGGACAAACGAATGAGCTGAGGTGGGGAGATGGTGATTCAGGGCTGAAGGTGGAATTCAGGCAAGAATATCAAAGGTGGGCAGGGCCAACAACTGGGCAGAAGGGAGGACAAATTTTCTGGCCACCTGGGAATGGCCAGGGGCAGACTGGTCCAGTTAAAGCACCCACTAGGGCAGGCTCTGCAGGAATGAGAATGGGAACCACAGGGTTCTGACCCCTACTTTTCTTTGTGCCACTCTGGCCTAGCTCCATCATGAATGTGCCTGGTGAGTCAACACTACGCCGGGAGTTTCTCCGGCTTCAGCAGGAGAATAAGAGCAACTCAGAGGCTTTAAAGCAGCAGCAGCAGCTGCAGCAACAGCAACAGCGAGACCCCGAGGCACACATCAAGCACCTGTTACATCAGCGGCAGCGACGCATAGAAGAACAAAAGGAGGAGCGGCGGCGCGTTGAGGAGGTGGGGCTATCCTGGAAGGGCCTGAGCCCAGGCCTGGAGTAGCTTCCTGCTGACCTGGTCCATCCCTGGTTCCAGGGCTAAAGAGAGACATGGAGCAAGCTGGGGCTTTTTATCCCCTTTTCTAAACTTTTATGGAAAGGCTCTCTCTGTTATCAGAAGCTGGGTCCCCTGCCTAGCTGTATATGGATGGTTATGCCATCAGTATCCCTTGAGCAGAGCCATTTCTGAAGAGCCATATCCATTTCCCATGACAGGACTCTCCCTGTCTTGGTTTCTGCATGTAAACCAAGTTTCTCTACTCCTAGTTTATCCTGCTCCTACACCTTCAGTCTGGGTAGCTGGGGAGATCTGTGCACAGAAGCTTCAGTGCACCTGTCAAGCAGCTGTTGGTCTGAATGTGAAAGGATCCTTTTAAAGACCCTCCTTTTACTTTGGGGTGTTTTGGCTCAGATTTTTTTGTAAAGTACAGTCTTGTCAGTTTGGACTAATTAGAGGTGGGTGGAAGAAAGTCATTTTAATTAATAGAGAATCCTATTTTTAAGTAAGTACAGTTTTCTTTTCTTTTTAAAATATCACCAGTTTATATATGAGTGTGTGTTTGTATACAGATACATATATAGGGTGGCCATAAAGTTTATGTGCCATTTAAAACAATCTTGTTTTTTTTT